GGTGGGTCGGATCAATGGAAAGTTTGGTAAGTATCTTTTGTCTAGTATTCTGAACGAGGCTAATTCTTTTTCAAGGCACCGTCGAGTTCCAGCCTATCCACTTTTTGCACAAGTCCGTCAACTTCGACGAACTCATCGCTCTCTATGCCGTATCAGATGCCTGCATTGTTTCCTCTACCCGTGACGGTATGAACTTGGTTGCCTACGAATACATCGCCACCCAACAGAAGCGCCACGGAGTGTTGGTGCTTTCTGAATTTGCCGGAGCAGCCCAGAGTTTGAACGGCAGTATCATTGTGAACCCCTGGAACACCGAAGAATTGGCAGGCGCTTACCAAGAAGCCGTAACCATGAGCGACGAACAGAGGGCTCTCAATTTTGCCAAGTTGGACAGATACGTGTCCAAGTACACCAGGTACGTTTCCATGTTAATTCCTGCCAGCCAGATCATCTCTCATTTCCTGTATTTCAATCCGGACTGACCTTCTTCTAGCGCATTCTGGGGCCAATCATTTGTCACCGAACTCACCCGGATATCCGCGCACTCTGCTGATAAGTTCCAATCCAAGAAATTGGCGGAAGCGGGTGCAAAGGAAGGCGATTTGCCAGCCACGACGCAAGTCGCGTAATAATATTTTGATATCCCTCTTCCAAGACATGTTTCCAGTTTCCTGGTGCTCTGTCGGAACGGGTTTTTCAAATGAAACTTAGATGGCCTTCATGAACATGGATCAGGCGAATTGTATCTTCTTAGAGGTTTCTCGTTGGTTTCTGGTTATTTTCTTTCTAAATTTGATTTCTAAATACAGGGTGGATTCCCTCATAGACCAAATTTATACTACAAAACACATCCCGACATGGATGGATGCCTCTTCCCAGTCTGGAAATCAGGACAGAATGTTACTATTCCGATTATGAAGAGACAGTGAAGACCAGCAAAGCCAAACTGACTGCTGGGTCATCCCTAGGGAATTTCTCTGAGCTACACCGTTGTGTTACTCTCTCTTTGCTTTTTTTTTTATTTTTTTGGTTCTCTGGAGCTGCCTCATCGCTTATAACTGAAACTTGGTGAGTTTGGGAAACTGGACAGGTTTAACCTCGATATAATCAGCACATTTTACACGGAGGTCACCATGGCCTGGTCATAATATATCTTATTTGAGAAAATATCTCGAGTCAATCAGTGTATAATAACTTATGCTCTGGGTTTGCTCATTTCAGCCTAGCAAAAGATGAGATATTTATGATAGCCAGGTAGCAGTTGGAACGGAATTAGGAACTTTCTTCATGTGGAAACGGCACTCTTAAGGCTTACTCAAACACGAGGAAGTGTAGATTCAAACTGTATACTTAAAGATAAAGGTTTTATCATCAAATTGCCCAGTTATTCGAGAGGCCATCCAAGTCGATGTCTTATACTTGAGTGCAAACAGTGCAAACATGCTTCCCCGAGAAATTCTCGAAATCCTCGACTGCAAACACCTCAAGCTCGCAACGATTTGGGCGGTCACCATCACCACAAACCACTCACGTGCCTGACCATTCTTAATCTCCCGTCTTCTCCAATCCCACCCAAATACCCTTGGACGAGCAACCGCCTGCTCCCCCACCAACAATGGCACCAAGCCACCTCCTCCGGGCAACAATGCCTCTCCGAGCCTCAATCACGACACCTCTGTCCCTGACACGCCCTTCAATCCTCCAATCAACCAGCTACCTCACCACACCTCTCCGCAATGCCTCAACAACCACCCCAACCCCCACACAGCCCAAGACCAAGGGCACAGACACACAAGCGCCCCCCGACTGCGCAACTACGCCTCAGCCCTGAAAGCCGGCACCGTAGTCTCCGTCGGCCGCATGGACCGCACAGTGGGCGTCTGCCACCGCCACACCATCTGGGACCGCCATATCCGCAAGTTCTACCCCAAGGAAACGCACTACCTAGTCTCGGACCCGCGCAACTCCCTCCGCGAGGGCGACGTAATCGAGTTCTCGTCTGGCGCGCCCAAGAGCCGAAACGTGCACCATGTCGTCGAGCGCATCGTCACTCCCTTCGGCGTGGCGATCGCGGACCGTCCTGCTGTTTTGTCGAAGGCGGAGCGTGAGGCGGAACGTGAGACCCGCTGGGCGGCGAAGTATCTCCGTCGTGAGTCGAAACGGCTTGGCCGTGAGGTGGATCTTGTGAAGGAGGCGGCTAAGGCGGGTGTTCCTGTGCCTCAGAATCAGGTGCTTTCTACTGCGCAGTTGATTCATCGGATTCATGCGGAGAATGAGCGGGTCGGGAAGGTTAAGAGGATTGTGCAGGAGAGAGTGGCGGAGAGTGAGAGGATTACTCAGGAGAGATTGAAGGAGGCTGAGCAATGAGCTGTTGGCTTTGAAGATGTGTACGTTTAGCTCTTTTTGGGACGGGCTTCAGTATTTGAACTGTTGGGTTTTGTCCTTTGGCCTCCGTGTTGCATATCGGAGGTTATGTACTGTATTATACCGCTTCAATATATTTTTTATTGACATTGTGATATGTTGTATTCCCGGAATGGTTCTTCCGACTAGAGATACATAGTTCTAAAGGATGCATGTATGAGAAAAGAAGGAGAGGAACCACCCATCCATGTCAAAATACAAAAAAACAGTGTACATCATAAACATGGGTTTAGCCTAGACAAGACTGTCTAGTCCAATACCCTAATCATTCGTAAACAGAAAGAAAGTTACTGGTATCACGGAAGAATAACCAACTCCTTTACCCAGAAACGGCAAAATGTGCCCGTCAAATCCTGAACCCTTCAGCTTGGAGGTATGACCCTGAGAGACATGGTACTCCCTCGGTGGATCGATTGGGCGGGAGGCTCTATTTATTTCGCGCTTCGGTGTTTCCCGACCTCGTCCTCTTTTCCATCACGCCTCGCTGCTAACTCAAATCGAAGATCATGCCGCCCAGACTCGGACCTTAAGATCAACACTGCCAGTCGCGAGGACACATCGAATGGACATCTTTGTCGCATTAGGGTCTTCTTTCGCTCCGTTAGATGCAGCCTCAGTACCCTTTGAGCCCTCAGTTGCACCAGCATCCTTAATCAAAGGCGGCGCCCATCGAAGCGAACTGATGAAATGGTCATGGGCCACAATCGTGCGCACGCATTTGCATTCTTGCGTGAGATCCCAGCACCGCATGGTCTTGTCATCAGCTACCGAGATGAGGTATTTTCCACCGGGATGGAAGACCAATGAGCGGACCCAGTTGTCGTGGCCAACAAGGGTCTTGATGCAGTTTCCACGGGTATCCCAGAGACGAATCGTCTTATCGCGAGAACCAGTAGCGACAAACTCGGCGGACGATGACGCTGGTGGTGGCTTCTTTAGCCCCGCAAGAGCTGCGAAGTGAGGGTAACTTGTTGGCGGAGCGAAGGCCACACATTCGATATAGTGCTCGTGGCCTAGGAATGTTGATTTGGTGTCCCCAGATGAGATATCCCACAGACGCGCAACCCGGTCATCTCCACCAGAGAAGAGGAACCGGCCGTCTGGAGACGGTGTAACATCTCGAATCCAGTCTCCATGGCCCTGCATAGATTTGACGCAATATCCAGTTGTGACATCCCATATGCGCAGTGTGAGATCACGAGAAGCTGAAACTAGTAGGTTTCCTGACATTGGAGATCCTGCAGCTCCGGAGGGAATGAACCGAACTGCTGAAACACTGTGGTCATGTCCTGGTAGTGTTCGGATGTTCTTATACTCGTCAGCCGGGTCCCACAATTTGATCGTCAGATCTGACGAGCATGATGCAAGGAGTGTGCCTCCGCGCGGCCCTCCATAATCCACATCTAACACTGCCCTAGTATGTCCTTTGATTGTGCGTTCTAGTTCACCCAACTCCCAATCCCAAATCTTGATTGTGGTATCATCTGAGCCAGAGGCCAATGAAGAAAATATTGGATGGAAAGCGAGACACGATACTGGCGAGCGGTGCGATTGGAGGTCATGGCGCGCTGGTGCTCGAGGCAGCCAGGAGACTGGGTCTTGATTTTTGCGATTCATGGATGTCGGGGTCGCGGTATCCAACTCTGACTGGAGTGCAGCGCATCTTGCTTCCAAGTCCATAATCTATTCCAGAATTACATGTTAACAAGAGGTAGGCTTGTGTTGTGATATCGGTCTTCGCACCTTTTTCTGTAACCGGACTACGCTCGTCCATTTCTTTTCCAACAACCCTTCATATTTCTTAAGTGTGGACTCGTCAACTCTGATCGAGTCGCCTAGTTCTTCGCGTAAAGCGGCGGAGCTGTGGTGCAAATTCACAGAGGTGAGGTAGGCGATTATTCCTTTATGTCTGTCGCGAAACACCATCAGTGATCACCCCCTAAATAAAGCAAGTCGGGTCACATACAGCTCCTCCGCCTGTCGCGACGTAAGAAGTTGGCTCATGGTGCTATATGTCTCTGCTCTCCCTAATCCAAATGCGCACCAAGTTCGGAAATCGATGGAGGGGAAGCGGCGGTGTCGAATTAAAGGGGAGTTGAGGGATTTGGGGAGCTGGAGAGTTGGCGAAGCGAATTGATCTAAGAGAAGTCGAAGAATTGAAAAGAAGAGAAGAAGGAGAAGATAAATATGAAGTTGTGATCCACCGCGGGGGATTTAACAAAACAATCCGCCAAGGCTTTTGTTTACTTTCTCTTCAACTTCCCGACTGTTTATTTTCTTTCTCCGTTTCGACTAATATCTCCCACCCCCTGTCATTGTACATTGGACACTTTGACTTGCATATTCATGTTCTAGTCATCTCTTATTGAGACAAACCTGTCTTTGATACCCTTTGGGCACCCAACATAGTACGCCCATCTGAACCCGCCCCCCAAGACATTCCGCAACCAACTCAGGACCCTTCTATATCTTTCTCCAGAATCTGCTTTGATGCAATGCGCAGCTCTGACAGGATACTGCAGAACGTGCTGACTCGTTTCCTTCCCAGAATACGTCAATAGTTCCTGTTCGCCAGAATGGCTGAAGCCACAGAGGACTTCTCCTCCTTACCCTTGCCCGATCGGTTCGCTCACAAAGTGCGCTCGCTCCCGCATAAACAGCCTGATCTATAGGATCACTGAAAAAGGCTAACCATATACAGAACTGGAAAGTCCGAAAGGAGGGATACGAAGATGCGAAAGCGCAATTTGAAAAGACCCCCGATGAATCACACCCGGTCTTCGTGCCATTCATACAAGATCCCGGGCTGTGGAAAGGAGCGGTGGCAGATTCCAACGTCGCAGCACAATGTGAAGGTCTTGCAGCATACTGCGCCTTCTTGAAATTCGGAGGAGCCCAGGCCTGCACGAGGTGCGTCAACCCCCGGTCCCAGTCGCGACGGTCTTGGCTGCCCCTGAATTTACTGACGACATTCTCATTTATAGATCCCGCACATATACTATTGGACCAATCGCTGAGAAGGGTCTCCCATCCACACGACCGGCCGGTAAAGCTAGCGCCCAGGAAGCTCTTTTACTATGTGTCGAAGTGGATAAGGCCGATCCGGTAATCGAGGAACTACTACCCATACTATCACACAAAGTACCCAAGGTGATCGCCGCCACTCTCGCAGCCTTAACTCTCATCTATCACAACTTCGGCTGCAAAATCGTCGACCCGAAGCCAACGTTGAAAGCGCTGACCAAGGTTTTTGGTCATGCTGATAAAAATGTCCGCGCGGAAGCACAAAATCTGACCGTGGAGCTCTACCGGTGGCTTCGGGAGGCCATCAAGCCTCTGTTCTGGGCCGAGTTGAAACCTGTGCAACAAGCAGATTTAGAGAAATTATTCGAAGCCGTGAAGCAGGACCCCACGCCGAAACAAGAACGATTCACTCGAGTACAACAAGATGCCATGGCCGCGGCCAGTGCTGCCCCTGCAGGCGAGGATGGTGAAGAACTAGCCGGTGACGAGTTTGACGAGGAGGAGGATGGGGTGGTTGTTGATGCCTTTGACTTGGCGGAACCAGTTGATGTCATGAAGAAAGTCCCTGACAACTTCCATGACCAATTGGCCTCGTCAAAATGGAAGGACCGCAAGGAAGCGTTGGACGCCCTCTATAACGTGATCAACGTTCCCCGAATCAAGGACGGCCCGTACGATGAGATCATAAGGGGATTGGCTAAATCCATGAAGGACGCCAACGTCGCTGTCGTCACGGTGGCTGCGAACTGCGTGGACGTGTTGGCCAGGGGCCTTCGCGATGGATTCACCAAATACCGAAGCGTCATTATGGCGCCCATGTTCGAGCGTCTGAAGGAAAAGAAGACGACTGTCGCGGATGCTTTGGGCCAGGCGTTGGATGCTGTCTTCACCACGACAACGCTGACGGACTGCTTGGAGGAAATCTTCGAGTATCTCAAGCACAAGAACCCCCAGATCAAGCAGGAGACTGTCAAGTTCTTGGTTCGTTGCTTGCGCACAACCCGGATGGTACCAGCCAAGCCAGAGCAGAAAGCGATCGCTGATGCCGGTACAAAGCTATTGACTGAGTCAGCCCCGGCAATTCGCGAAGGAGCGGCTGAAATTTTGGGTACATTAATGAAGATCCTGGGTGAGCGGGCTATGAACCCGTATCTCGATGGTCTTGACGAGATTCGTAAAACCAAAATCAAAGAGTACTTCGGAACTGCTGAAGTCAAGGCCAAGGAGCGACCTAAGGCTATTGTGGCACCCCCAAAGCCCGCTGCTCCGGCTGCCAGGAAGGTTGTTGGCAAAAAGCCGCCGGCAACGGGACTAAAGAAGCTCGCCCCTGTAGCCGCTCCACCTGCCCCAGAAGAACCCCCGGTCAAGCCTGTATCCCGAGGAATCCCCTCGAAACTTGGTGCCCCCAAGTCCGCCCTTGCAACTCCTGGGTCAGGTCTCAAGCTGCAACGGAAGCTTGCTGGTCCTGGAACCACTGCGTCGCCATCAAGAAGAGTTGCTCCGCCCCCCCGAAGAGGATGTGGCTCCCCCCGCCAGCAGCCCCCAAGTTTGGTCTCGGTCGTGGCCTGGCAGGTCGACCTATTGCCAGACCCTCGGCGCCTGCTGAACCTGCCCCTAATGCCATGGCAGCTGCCGACCGTGCCGAGTTGGAGGAATTACGCGCAGACAAGGTGAAGCGTGCTGAACTGGAGGAACTGCGGGCAGAGAAAGAAAATCTTTACCGAACGGTGGAGGATATGAAGGCCGAGCGGTCAAGGCTCAACTCGACGATCACTGAACTTCAGAACCAGAACGCACAGCTGATTGAGGACCACACCCGCGATGTCTTGAGCATCAAGGCGAAAGAGACTCAACTTGTGCGAGCACGGAGTGACGCGGAAACTGCGGAGGGAAGTGTTCAAAAACAGCAGAGAGAGATCGAAAGATTGAAGCGTGAACTCGCACGGGCACTTCGCGCATCTGCCATCAGCCCACCCAACGCTACCTCCGACGCAGGCAGCATGGGCATGCCGGACACGGCCTCCATGTATCAAGACCACATGAGCAACAGCAATGCTGCTGCACGAGCTGGTCTTCACATGGGATCCCGCTTTGAAAGCGCGCGTCCTCGAAGCTATGCCTCTGCCACTCCCAGTGAGGAGAAGGAGGCCAGCGGTATGGAATCACCAGGACTCAGCAGTCGCAATGGCGGCCTTGGCCGACGCAACTTGAGCCCTACATACGGTTACTCGGCCATTGGTAGCCCCACACGCTCGACTCGAGACTCCAACGCACAGTTCACTGAAGACGACCAACAACCCAGATCTTCCGAACCGGCAGAGAACTGGAAGCGAGCTGCGGAAGTCACTAGCCAACTGAAGGCGAGAATTGAACAAATGAAGGTAAGTGATTGTGATTTACTTGTGTCTGAACTCGCTAACAAGGATCCACAGGTACGCCAAGGGCTTTCACGACCTCCGCAACGTTAATGACCAAATGATCGCGATTATGTTTATGTCTCGTCTTTCTCACTATACACCTTTCCTTTTTCAACTCCTGTCTTTAGACGGGGGTTCCCAGTTTCATCAATATTAAAAAGATGAAGATCTTGGTCTTCTGGGAGCATCGGGCTCGGCTTTGGGGGGGGGTTCTTTGTACTATTTTTCTTATGCTGTGGTCGAGGACCTCTGAATCTTCCTGTAATTTCATAGCCTTGTCCTTTTATCCTCCTTATGACTGTTCTCGGTATCTAACTTGTTGTAGTTCAACCCGTGTGTTACTATCCTCCTCTCTCTCTGGGGGGTGTTTCATACGTCACCTCTATGTACGGAGTACTTGGTAGATATAACTCCGAACGTGCCCCTCAATGGTGCTGGCACTAGTGGAACAATATAAAACCCACCTACCCCTCCTTCACTCTCTCTCCTTTCCTCTCTCTCTCTCACACTTTCACTCACAATTAACATTCCAAGATGGGCTGGTTCAATGGTGACTATATCCCCCTACTCTTGATAGACCTCCACTCACATCTACCTAGACGATTCCGATCAGGCTCAGGCCTACAACACCTACAACAACCAGCCAGAACACGATCCTTCTCTGATCCACGAGCTGATCGCCGGTGCCGCCAGCTACGAGGCAGCCCAGGCCTACGAGAACCACGTTGCTGAGAACGGTATACAACCCCTCCCTCCCCCCGCTTGGATCATCCCGTGGATAGAGCCAGGCCTTGGAATAGAAAAGCAAGAAACAGAAAAGCTAATACTCTTTGCTATAATAGGCGAGCCCGACAGCCACGCAAAGGCCAAGGAGATCCTCGCTGGATTTGCTGGTGCCTTTGTCGACCGTGAGGTTGAGACTAGGGGATTGGACTTCATCGATCGGGAGAAGGCCAAGTACGATGCCAGACAGCAGGTTCATGACGCGTATGACTCCTATGGAAATCAGTTCTAGATGGTCTTGTGTGAATGAGATGTGATATATATTGTATCTAGCATGTACACATGTTGTTTATAGGGGGTTACCCCGCCATCCCACAAACCAGCCTTGGATACATATAGCCTGCGCGGTCTTGGATTCTCAGGTCTATATTAAACGGTCTTATAGACGGGTTTCTTAATAGAAGACTGTTTGATAGAAGTAGGTAGAGATGTTTAAGATATGTGCCAAGACGGGACTATCTTTTAGAGAAGACTTGGTATTCTTGGCGGCTGTCGCAGAAATCCCACACAGGGGAGAGGGGGAGAGATGAAAATTTTCGACGGAGAACAATCTGTCGATCACGGGATTGATTTACTCATCTCCATCAAGATTCTTGTACAGAACTAACAGTTACCAAAATCTATAAGCTACACTACAAATACAAGCAGACGACATGAATGCCTAGTTCTGATGGGTATAGACCATCAATAGATTGAACAGGTAAGAAATGCATTCATGGGTATCTGCAGAAAAGTGGTACATAGGGCCATTGGAGTTCGTGAGGGAAAAAATGTGTCTTTTTTTGTTAGAACAGGATCCAGAAAGGGCCAAAAGCGCTCTTTCGCACCCATCTAAAGCTAAAGTGGCCGTCAATAGATCGTCAAAGCCTTGAGCACCTCGTTGTTCCCCATAACAACTGATTATTTTTGAGATCCGAGCGCTTCGATTAGAAAACGATCCCGTCAAACAGACATCAAAGGAAGAAAAGCTGTAGTTACACAAGCATTTAAACCTTGATGGCGGCATCGATAGCCTTCTGCTTCTTCTCAATGCGGGCGTTGGCCTTGGCACCCATGATGCCACCACCCCAGTGGCGGCGGGACTCCTCGTTCTTGTCGGTGTAACCCTCCTTGATGGCGGAGAGGAGCTTGGCGAACTCGGCCTTGTCCTCAGCGCGGGTCTCGGTCAGGGCGAGAACGGCGGAGGTCTTCTTGTGGACGACTGTGCCGAGACGGGCCTTGCCCTTGACGATGGCGTAGGGGACACCCATCTTGCGGCAGAGAGCGGGTAGGAAGACAACCAACTCAATGGGGTCAACATCGTGAGCGATGAGGACGAGGGAAGCCTTCTTGTTCTCAACGAGTCCGACGACGTGGTTGAGACCGTACTTGACATTGTAGGGCTTCTTGGAGACATCCTCCTTCTTCTTGCCCTCGGCGACAGCGGTGGCCTCCTGGACGAGACGCTCCTTCTTCTCGGCCTTGGTCTCAGGACGGTACTTGGAGAGAAGCTTGAAGGTCTGGGCAGCGGTGTTGCGGTCGAGAGTAGCCTGGAACTGAGCAATTGAAGGAGGAACCTTCAAGCGCATGTTCAGGATCTTCTTCTGGCGCTGAAGACGGACATACTCGGGCCACTTGACGAAGCGGGAGAGGTTGCGACGGGGCTGGATGTCCTGGCCGATACCGAAGTTGCGAGTGCGCTTCTCGATAAGGGGGTTCTGTTGAGTGACAAAGGTTAGCCTCTTCGGAACTGAATGCACTCCTAGGGGGGAAAGAGATAAAACTAACCTTGGCGGCCTTCTTGCCAGTGCCAGCCTTGCCCTGGGGGTAGGGCAGAGCGGCGGTCTTCTTTCCGGACTTAGGAGGCTATCATTGAGGAAAGAAGATCAGCGTGCTGTTCACATAGTGCTGCATCTTCTTTGAACTCTAAGGAGAACATGAGCCAAGCCGTGTTACGGGCATTGACTGCATGCTTCCAGCCAAATCATCACACGATCGCGACACATCTCTTTCGAGGCTGTGCGCGATCGGCGGAATTGCTTAGATCAGAGATCTGAAGCAAAGCGAATGTCGTGAGACATCGCGAGAGAACTAGAAGAAGTCTCTGTTATCAAGAGACATTTTATGTACTTACCACCATTTTGTCGACTGGGATTGCGCTGATTGACGGTTGACGGATGAGAAAGAAGAAAGTTCGTGTGGATGCAACTTATGAAGTTTCTGTGGGTCGCGCTAGCATGCTCATGTGACCAGGGCTAGGGCTACCCACTAGGGCAGATTTCCATAACCTTCACAGTCACATGACCTTGACATATCTATGTCCATTCTAGCAGAAGCGATGGAGGGTAACTTCCGCAATAATCATAATCTCCAGGGTAACTGTAGCCTCCCAATCTTGTAGCTATCGAATTTCTTTCAAAACAAATTTCCAACCCAAAAATGTCAACATGATGTATTCTGTTCGAGCATGCTGATCACCCGGTATGCAGATCAGCCTTACTCCCAATATACTGTACCTAGCTCTGGAGTTGCCGGCCCCCTATAGTGATCCACACCTGGTAAGATTCCTACAACGTCCATTGATCTGTCCATGGTGATTGGATGCTTTAGAGATTCAGGGCCTGATCACATACTGCAATGTAGCAGATTGTGCAGAGCTAAACCCGCAAGTAGTGGAAGGATCGCTTGAATGAGGTAAGGAAGCCTTCAGCTCCTAGCTATGACCTAACTTGAAATCGAGCTGGTGGAGCTCAGTCCAGCCCCGACTGGATTCCCCGTCGTTGTTTATAGCCCAGGTACTGAGTCGAGCAATACCAGCGGCTCACCATTACCACCCAAACACTTTCTTCTGGCACAGAATGGCAAGCAAACGTATATGGAAGAGGTAAGGGCGCTTCCTGGTGACGAAATTGCGTCACAGACAACAGACAGCATGGTCAGACGGTTTCCTTATCAAGATTCACAACAAAGAAAGCTGCACTAGACCAAAAGAATCCCTTGAAGTCAAAGTGGAAAGAGACCAGCCGATTATCAATATTCTCTCCGTGGGAGATGCAGAAAGGTGGCAGATCCGCTTCAATTGCAAAGAGTGCAGATCGTGAAGCAACTTGTTCACCTCGAGACCAGTCGTGGCGCCTGAGTTCATCACGCTACATGCGATCTTACCCCCGCATGCCTGGTCTTACCAACACCTTAAATCAAGCAAGCGTCGCGAGCTGTTTCAAATTGGCTCGACGACTTCAATATGACAACTCGTCTGCTCGCAGAAGAACGATACCCGGTATTTAGCCTTGGGGTACAGTAAGCACCCCTTCATGGTGTTTATTGGCCGCATTGTCTTCTATGTTTGTTCTTTCAACAGTACCTTCCCGCAACATATCCTGCAATTCTGATCACAGTATAAACACACTATTGGAACTGCAGACCTTTTGTTCCACAGGTCTAGAACCAAGAAGATATGTGTATTTGGCTGTACAAAACTCCACAATATATATAATCACATCACTCAATACATGTATCATTAAAGGGCATCCATAACCTGAAGTCTAAAGCAAGTCTAGAATGCGCAACCACAACGCCTTAGATAAACCAAATGGGACGCAATAGTCCAGAGATCCATCAATATGCAGCAAAAGAGAAAGCATCTATCCTCTATACATCACCTCCACGCCCCCAGCCCGGGCAAAGCCCCACGACCCAAACTAGTACTAGCAGCCTGAACAGCCTTCTTCTTACCCAGAGATCCCTCCTGAGCACGCACACCAGCAATGATCTTCTCAATATGCGTCTCGATCACAACACCACCCACAATCATCTCCCCAAGCACGGCATGTAGAGTCTCATAGCCGAAAATAAGATCCAACTCGCAAACATTCTCGAACATGCGATCCAGCGCCTCGACAAATACCTGAATCAGATCGATCAGAGCGAGCGGAGACTCGGTGGATGTAGAGATCATGATGAATGACAACGTTGCATAGGTCCGGTATGTGATTTGGGTGGGGGCATCGGAGGGACCGGAGGCGGAGGAGCTGGCGCCTTGCGAGAGGAGAGGAGGGAGCGGGAGGAAATTGCATGCGCTTGCTGGACGCTGCGCAACTAGACGGTATATTTGCGCGATCAGGGATTGCTGCGTTTGCGTGTCCTGTGCCGGGGGTTAGTTGGGGTTGTCCTGTGGGGTGTTGGGGTGAGTGCGGTCGACTCACCAGCTGTGTGTAGAACTTTGTTAGTCGAGGCTGGCCATTATTATTGAAGACGAGGACTGCGTTGATCATCTTGACTTGCGTGCTTGGAATATAGAGAGAAGGTCAGTCTTATCTGGATGCGATAGCTGATGATGCGGTCTTGGCTCGGGAGACTTGCCCCGTGCGCCGATCTGGAGAAATCGATATCAACTCGACTTCTTTTTTTTTCCTATCGAGACACCTTTCCTGATAGTCGAGAGTCATGATGAACTCAATACCAACATGCAGGAACTCTGCATCCAGGATATCATTATATACAACCATACGAGCGCTATCCTCATCCTCGAATCCAAATGCAAAGCGCGAGCTCAAAGACCTCACCACAACCGACCTCTGCTACTACTGGGATACAAGACCTCCCAAAGCGGAACAACTAGCATTTGCTGATAAGGTCTTCACACCGTCGCGTCATTCACCGCTCAAACTCTGGTCCGCGGCCAAATTCCGCACAACACCATTCGCATCAGTCGAGCCCGAAGTCGCATTCCTAGGCCGCTCAAATGTCGGCAAGAGCTCGCTACTCAATGCAATCATGGGGCAGGAGATGTGCTGGACATCGTCAAAACCGGGTCGGACGAGGGAAATGAATGCGTTCGGGATTGGAGGTACAAAGGGAGGCGAGTCGAAGGTTGTGTTGCTTGATATGCCGGGATACGGAAAGGCGAGTCGGTCTGAGTGGGGACAGGAAATTATGAAGTATCTACAGGGACGGAAACAGTGAGTTATGAACTGCTCCGCGTGGAACATGGAATACATGGAACACATGGAACGAACCTACCCTGGGTGCTCATTGTACAATCTGACGGATACGTTATAGACTTCGTCGCGCATTCCTTCTCATCGACAGCACGCACGGCATCAAGCAAACAGACGCTGAGATCCTCAGATTATTCCGACATCACGCAATCCCACACCAGATCATTCTATCCAAGGTTGATAAGTTCCTTGTCAGGAAGTTGAAGCAGATGAAGACTGGAGTTACGTCTGCCAATATTGAGCGACTACAGCT